GCAACCAAAACCGGCGCACGAAAGTGCATGGTTAATGGTTGTAAAACTGAAACTGAAAAACTGAGCTACCAAATATGAGTCGGCTTACCCAAGGTTGATTTCACGCTTACTCTATCCAACACACCCCAAACTACGTAAACATCGACAAGCGATGACTCATAGACGATGAATTGTCTTCCACTCATCGCGATGGGTATGCATCGTGATGTATGATAGCTTGTACACCTTTGAGACCCAAAGAACTATAAAGGATGGTTTGTCTCAAGCCGAAGATTTAATCATGCCCGGAAGGTCGAAGGGTAAAGATCAGACAAAGTTCAGTACCTTGGTACTTCATGATGGATGCGCCTCAGTTGGTAAAAAATGATGGATCAACCCAAGCAAATGGGTTATCAATTGGCATTACCCGTTTCCTTGTTGTCAGATTCTCATAATAGATGAAGGCTTCGGCTGGGAACCCTAATCGTTCTAAGTCGAATCAAGTCAAAAATCCCTATATTCATCCTAATGGATGGATTTTCAGCTTCTCCTGTTTAGTGGTCGGACTATAGCAGTACCCATCTATCAAACCCCAACAAACGGAAAATAAAATTATTTGTCATAGTCATCAGTGAAGCGAACTTCACTGATAGCTGCCAAACTCGCAATGCATACAAGGCAAGTGAGAATGTGAAAGGACGATAGGGATTGGAGCGATTTTTAGGGACCGGAAAAGAAAATAAACCTCTATGATCAACAGGTAGACTGCACAGTCTAACTGTGCCCGCCCACTATTTCAAGCATTCTAGCCTGATAAGAATTGACAGCAAGAAGGCCACTGCTATCGGTTGGCTGACATGGCCTTCAGTGTCTCCAATCATCTAGTTGAGGAGTCTTTTGGACCCCAACCCGGAAGGCAAGAGACACCAACTCTACAGAAGCGCTCTGCGCATTTCTTCATGCCTCGTCCACAGATCATGTTGGCCTCCAAATGGCTTTCTCCAGTCTGTAGCAACCACTGCAAATAAGGCAATTTATTGTAGACGACTATAAGACATACACAAAATGTGCCCTAACCATCGGGGACCACTGAGATGAATTCGCTGCGATAGCGAGTTCTTGTCCGTTACATTCCCAAACACCCAACGATTTTCCTCTCGGTTACTAGCGCGCTTACTACATCCCATATGAATCAGACTATGTAAGCATCGAGCCTCCAAAACCACTAGGAGACGGATGTCTTCTACCCTCAAATTCAAGGTCTCAGCCGTAAAGCAGAACTGATAGTGCAGTGGTGCAGTATACGCGGATTTTAAACTTCAGCGAAACGTCTCGTACTTGCCACCGGTGTTAAGTCCTGCGTAAGCTGCTTGAGCCTTGGAAATGCTAGCGGCTATTTCCATTTCTGCGTTAACATCGTTGGTCAGGCTGCTACCTAAGTACGAGAAGCAATCAACTTCAGCTAATTCCTAACCGTCTAGTTTAAGAACGGAACTAAGCGAAATCCACTTTTTCAGCATCACTTTGCACTTTGAAGGTGTAAAGTGCATGCCTAACAGAGCAACAGAACTTGCTGGTCTTTAAAGCGCGCTTTGTGCATCCTCCATACATTCAAGCAGGTAAGCAATGTCGTCTGCGTACTCCAAATCGCACAGCTCTTCTCCAGCTGTCTATTCGATACCTACGTTTTGGAGGCCACTTAGTGTTTCGTCTATCACGAAATTGAACAAGAGTGGCGAAATAGGGCACCTTTGACGAACACCGCTGCTAGTTACGAACGACCTAATCAGCTCGCTGTGGACCATTACGCTACCAGAAGTATGCGGGTAGAGTGAACACAGCATTTAAGCATGTATGTTCACATACTTCTGTGGTGTTCCTTTATGAAGGAGCGAACCCATAAGGGAATCGTGGCCAACTGAGTCGAAGGCTCCTTTTAGGTAAAGAAACACAACTGTTGGCCGACAGCGTGTCTGGCATAGCCCGAGGATTTGACGCAGCGTGGTCAAAACAACCGCGACCTGGACAGAATCCTGCTTGTTGTTCGCGAATACTTGTCTCCCTAAACAGTGTAAGATGGCGAAGCATGAAGGAGGCTAATACTTTGGTGACGATTGGGATCAAATTTATTCCACGGCAGTTTGCGCAGTCGTTGCGAGAACCCTTCTTGAAATGGGAACGATCAGTGATTCTCTCCGGGATAATGGACTGCTCTCTTCTGACCACGTCAAAACAGTAAGGGAGTCTACGAGGTAATCGCCCGTCCGGTCCTGCTGCTTTTCCTTTCTTTAGCTGTTGGATGCAAGATCGAACTTCTGCTTCAGTAGGAGGTTCACATGGCACTGTCCATGGAGCCTCGATTATAACACAGTAGGTAGTCTGGTTAGCTGAACTGTTCATTAAAGCACTTAATTATTCACATAACTCAACTGACTAATTACTTTTTGTGAAAAGATATCACGTCTCGTACATACACAAGTTCAGTGCGTCTACTCTACCACCTACAATGTCAGGATGTGCTTTACGTCGAGCAGATTTTCTATATGCGTTAGTCAAGTAGGATAACTTCCATGCGTAGGGATGTGGCGTGCGGTCAGTTCTGCTTCATGGTTGCAAGACCCCAAATTTGCGCGTGGAAGATAGTTGTCGTCTAGAAGTCTTCGACTGTAAATGTTTACGCAGTTCGGCGCGGGTTGGATGGGGCGGGCTTGTAAGATACTCTGAGATAAGCCGTCGCGTATTTGGTAATGATTTGATTGAGAATTCGTTGTCCTATCGAATTCAGATTAGTCGGCTTCGCTGGTCGGGACACGTATTGCACATGCCCAGCCATCGCCGGTGGTTTCTTTCATCTAAAATTACTACAACTGTTTGCCAATTTTGGTCTCATTTGTTTTCCAGATGTTATTCGTTTGTTACTAAGGGGAAAATGTTATACGGTTGGAGATAATATGAACAACTTTCCTTTACAAGTTTTTTGGTTCCAAGCAAATGATCTAATGATTCTCGTGAAAATCACTGAAAATTTAACATTCTGGAGCATAAAGCTTGATTTGACTTGATATCCAAAAGATTCGCACGAATGTTAAGTTGAAGTAAACCAATCTGAGTAACAGCAAATACTTCATTTATAAAGAGTCGGTGTGTGGATGTCTCCGGTTGCGGCTGGTTACCCCTTCTTCGAACCTCGCAAAATGCTCCCATACGACTGAGCAACTCAAACGGCTTCCGCTGAGGAAGCCCCAATCACTGCCTTCTCGTGGCAGAGATGGTTTCCCACCAAAATGAGAGGACGAAAAGCCAATATCGGGGACTACAACCGGGTCGGTAAACCACTGGCAGTTCACCTAGGGGAGTTGGTTAAAATCCCTGATTCCAAATCAACCAAAAGGAGGCGTACGAACCACACACACCTGGTCGTGGTAGTGGTCACTAGCTTGATTGGTTTGCAGTGTATGGGACACATTGGACGCTTGACCCCAGCCAAAGGGAGTATGATGCGATGAAATGGACACCAAGCCCCAAGTGATGCAGTGTTCACAAACCGCCCAGCTGCCTTTTTAGTCAGGCTTTGGGAAGTCGAAGACTTCGGTTGTGAACTCCTTAAGAAAATTTGCCTCCTTTGGACTGGCCAACTTAAAAACACCGTGTCCCCAAGCAAATCAAGGGCTTTTTTCTGTTTTATAAGGATTATTATACTGTGATGTATTTGATACAGCCTGAAATCAAATGTGTGAATACATTTATATATAGAATTCGACAGCTGTCAAATGTAACCCACACGACAGTAAAAACAACTTCAGTATAATAACACCTCAAAGACGAATTCCAAACATTTTGATGAATATATTGAAAAACCACACTCCAAAATATTACATTGCGATAAATTACGAAAAATCAATGACAAGATAGAGAAGTGTGCGAATTCAAGAGAGAAAAAATTGTGATTCACCAACCACTGCAGGAATAAAAATAAGCACTGGTGAGCACATCATGTATACTTCTTAGGGGCGTCATTTCCACTTATGAATGATGTGTGCTATTCGGAGTCACTAAACGCTACGATTTTGCTATCGTCTGTTGTAACTTGAAGCTGCTTTAGACCCGCCACCTGTTCCAGGTAGTTTGAATCATCGAAAACATTTAGGAGAAACCGGAAGCCGTCCTTCAAAAATGCATCCATCACAGGAAGAGAGCAGGCCGAACAGCTCGAAAATGCCGACATTGCTGGAACCATTTGATTGAAGTATGACAGAAATCCTCTGATCTGGTGAGGAACTAGATTCAGAGAATGCCCGCTGGAAGACAATCCGTCCAAACCAGTATCTTCCTTAGTACATGCAGGGGCATTGGCTCCGAGGGGATGCTGAAGCACGCTTATTAACAATTCAACAGCAAAAGCTGCCGCTATCATTGATACACCAGGGCGGGTAACAGTACACTGCTGATCCAAACTGCGATTTTGGACCGAGTTAGCAGGTCCCACAACATCGCTGCAAAAATAACAACCAAGCTGATAACCGGGAACAGATCTTTGGTGCTTAGTGTTTTCACTTTTCAAAGCAGCCAACTTTTCCTTTTTGTGCTTGGGACTGACACTCGGATGCGTGTCAAAAGTTTCATTTTTATTGTTAAACGGTTTCCATATTTCGCTTTCGCCGGTAACCAATTTATTACCAAGACCATGTCGCATAACCAGGAACGTGTCGAATCCCAGAGCAGCATTGATGACAAGCCTTTGATGAAAGTTTCCCAGGAGCGTCGGAAGCCACCTAGATTCTCTCGTATCTGTCATCAAGAAGATAACATCATGATTTTTTATTAGGTCATTTAAGCGCCCACATGCGAAATAAGCACTATAAATTGATTCAGGAAGGTCTTTGGTACTTTCTCGTGTCTCACCAAACTCCTTCGGAATAGAAGCTTCATTGTACTTTCTAGAAACCACAGAAGGCGATATAGGGTGACCGGGCATAGGTATGTTTAGATCAAATCCATTAGCACATACTCCTGGAAATATTTTTTCCAGGGTTTTCGCGGCAGCAACGGCTTTTGATTTTTTCTCACCGAATGTGTCTTCAAAAAAGAAAAGGGACTGTCTAACTGGATTTGACATAGATACAGTAGCGTTGTCAACAAATGTTATGTGCTTGATTCCCCAAGCCATTAACTGGCGTGCTACATTGCATCCCAGTGTTCCAGCGCCGATAAGAAGACATTTGGTATCACGAAAAACGTCCAGCTTCAGGTCCGGCATTAATCTCCATTTGATTAACTTCAGGTTGAGATCAACAGCGGATTCAGAAAGTTTTATTGGATCCATGCTGGAACTCAGGTCGATACATTGCGGTTTCAGTTGCCCGTTATTTTTCTCCCAACCCACGAATTGATCAATCGAAGAAAGGTTAACTGGATTTAGCCTAACGTTTAGAACAATGCTGTGTTGACATTGTCTTTTCCCGCGTGAATATCTATCCCTGAAGCAGATAATTTTTACATTTTCGCTTTTGTCGATCAGAGAAGCTGATATAGCAAATAATATGTTGCGAAGTGGCCAACCAGGAAAAGTTGGGTCGGTGGACGGATCACAAAATCCTAGATATACGTTGGATGATCCGACTTGGAAGTCAGCACATGAACTGATATGTACGTGTGACTCCGCGTTATGTGGGGACTGTACCGTCACAACAAAAAAAGCAGAAGTGTGATTCTCGCGCCAGTTGTCATAGGCATGTAGAAGCTCAGAAAGCTGAGAGCCTGAGAGTTCTTCATCGATGAGGCGTGATGAGATTAGGGTCGGTTGGTTTGTATGAATGACGGCAGGATACGCGAACCAAAAGTAGAACTTGAATCGCTTTAAATCCAAATACGTCAACAGGCAAAAACATAGGAGCATATCCGGTTGCTTCAAATATTCGTTATTTTCCAACGATTTTTTAAACATTTTTATCCCAAAGTCATTGATGAAAACCTGCTTATCAATAGATCAAAACTCATCCAGACTGTTCAGAATGATGACTTCACCATTGAATTTAAAACAACTTTTCGATTGCCGCTTATTTATCCCAGAATCGGAGAAGCAAGAGACGTCTAGGGTATTAATTGGATGCAGTCCTGCAGATAGTCCGTTGGTGAATTCGGAATGGAGGATGAATGGGCCTTGGGACAGCCGGAATTCTTCGAGTTTCTTCCTGGCCAAAGCATGCCAAAATGCAGTATCCACCGAAGTTTCAAAGGGCAAATAACGTAATGGTTCACTCATGGATCCTGTGTCTTTGTTGATCAAAGTATTTTAGATTCTGTGGGTGATTTCGGTTAAACGGTCACAATCAGTGGAATGAAAAACAGCAGCTTCAGGAGTGATAAAAAATTGTTCAAAGTCCAACAGAACCGAATAGCATTTGCACCTCCACCAGAAGAAAAGCATTTAGCTAAAGAAGCGATAGACAAATAAGCAGCTTAAGAGAACTTACTTCCGGGAGAACACTGGCAAACGGGGCCTCTTCAATTCGGGCATCACAACAGAGTTCACACAACGAGGTTGACCACCGCCCTTGCGTATTTTTCGTTTTTCAAGGTCAGTTC